ATGAAGAGCTGAGGACGGTATTCACTTTTGAATTAGTCGCTCCGTCTGACGGTTAACTACACCACCTACTGTAACTACGCTCAAGATAACAACATGGACCTTGTTATCAAGCCTCGGATCTTAACATGGGCACTAGATGAAAGCTGGTAAGCCTCCTTTCCGAACACAATCATACTGGGAATAGCTGACACTATGTGAAATTGAACACAATGTGAAACGATCCAAGTGTTATTGTTAGATGTGGGCTTTGGACATAGATGTTGCTTTAGCAACATGTCGGCAACATATACAGTTGCGCTGTTGTGGAAGTGGAAACAAGGAGCTTTTCTTTCCTATTTACCCCGGCCAAAACTATTAAAACCTAAATGCACACTGCCATTTTAAAAATCGACCTCACCAATCACAATCCAAGCCTCATGGTGACCAAGCAAAATGAAGTAAAGCATCGGGAGAGTCGACCTGCACGCTTTGCCGGGGATATGCGCTCGGCGAAGAAAGAGGGTGTTCCCCTCGGACGAGCAGCCTTGTCGTTTGGTATGTCCAAAACAAGTTTACATCGGCGGTTCAAAAAGGGCGTCAATGCTGGGCAGTTCACAAGACAGTCCTGTCAAAGGACGAAGAAGAGGGTATTGTCCAAGTGATTCTGTACCGTTTGAAGGTAGGTGTGTGCATGACGGACGGTGAGCTGCTCATTCTTGCACGCCAGATTGCTGCAAAGGCAGGAAAGGCCATGTCCAAATTCTTTCCGTCTTCTAGATGGCCTACGTGCTTTGCTGATCGTCACATCTACCGGCTGACTCTCAAAAAGGCCCAAATCCTGGCCACCAAAAGCGCTTCGCAAAGGAGCGCATTCATTCGTACCACTTGCAGGAGGCTATGGAAGGCCTAAGTGCTGCTCAAGTTTGGAACTGTGATGAAACGGGGTTTTACCCTCAAGGCAGAACTCCAACCCGTCTGGTCTGCTCCAAGAGCAGGCGAGCTAACTTTGCGCGGTTCAATGATCGCGAGAACATGTCAGTCATGGCGTGTGTGCCCGCTGCAGGCGACCACATTCCTCCGATGTTCATATTCCCTGGCATTAACAGGCAACTAGAATGGATGGATGGAGTAGTTGATGGCGCTGTCTGCCCCATGTCCTAGTCTTCGAATATCAACGGGTTCTTGTTCTTGCACTGGTTGAAGTTTTCGACAAGGAGATGACAAAGAAGAATGTACTGAGACCGGTTTTATTAATTTTGGATGTCATTCCGCACACATCAGTGGTGTGCTACTTAAATACGCGAAGGCTCAAAAGATTAAACTCTTCGTTCTAGTTCAAACCCCAGTTCCTACAGAGCGCCAAGAGCGATACCTCAAACGTCAAGGCATCTCACCCGAATCTCTCGACGCAGCTTTTTTGAGGTTTCACCAGCTACTACAACTTATTCCGCTTTCTCAGATTTCCGAACCAAAAGCGAAACGCCAGCCAACCTCTGTTGAAGGCGATGTTCTCATGACACGGGACGAGATGAGTGCATCGGTTCTTGAAGCAGAGGAATCCCGAAGAGAGAAAGCTGCTGAAAAGGTGAAAAATGCAAAAGAAAGAGAGATCCAAAAGAAGCTGAGAGAAAAAAGCAGTCACTTTGAAGAAGATCCAACAAATAGAAAAGAAAGCCGCGCGAGAGCGAGCTGCTACAAGAAAACGAGCCGCAAGAAGAAGCTGCAGTAAAGAAAAGATCCAACAGCTGGAGAAGAAGGCCGTATGAGATCGACATGCAGCTGAAAAGAAAGCTCTTAAGGCAGTTAAAGCGCTAAAGAAGTCGCTTCGTCCAACGAAACTGTTCAAGACAAGCCCGTCGACCAACACCAATGAAGTGGTTGAGCTAGAGGAGACTTCAAAGACGATTCAAGTCAATTTGCACGGCAGAGACACTCAACGTTTGGTGCTACTAGCTAGTGCTGTTGGGTTCGATGTAGCCATTTAGAGCGTCTTACTTGATTTTTGTAAAGAATACAATAGTTCCATGCTGTGTCGACTTGGACAGATCACCAGCAATTCCGTAAAACGCTAACAGAATTCTCAACTTCAATGAATCTTTTCTTCATCTCATCACGTTTTCTGGCATCTATCAAGGGTTGTATAGATAGTGATAGGTCTTAATTTTCCATTCAGCATGGACAGAGGTCATGAACACCCTTATTTTATAAGTATGGTCGGGTCCGCAGAGCACTAAATTCCTTCCATCCCACGTCAAATGGGATACCTTTAATACGTATGGACAGCCCTCAACGGATTAATACCCCGGTGCTGCGTAACTCGCTCGATGCTATCTCGTTCAACGTACAGCTGACTCAAAATGTAAGGTGAAAGGTGGGCAAAAGTAGCATGTTTAAAACATATTTTGGCGTCGTGCTGTCCGTATGTGATAGTTAAGGACTATCGATCTTTGGTCGCGAACTCTCGCAGGATTGCTAGCCACGCATTTTCTCTTTGTGTACGTGCCGAAGTCTCAACTGTTAAGTCTCAGCTGGTTGAACTCTCGAGGAATTAACATCTGTCGTGCACCTAGCGAGGGCATTTCGTGAGCCAAACGAGAAGAGTGACTACTCGGTCACTTCTAAAGGTTCGGTCATACAATTGGTCACCGAAATAAAACAGTATAAGCTAGCCCGGAACGCATCCTAAACACAGATTATTATATCTCCTAGAGGAAGCACCTAGAGAAAAGCTAGCAGATAGAAGCTTTGTGGAATCCTTCATCATTGCATTTTTTCTGTCAGTTTTACCCAGTTTTACCCAGTTTTACCCTTACAGATTCTATCGCATCGCGTGCTGTTGAAGTCTGCGAAGCAAGCATTAACGCTCAAAGATCAATGCAACGCTACCCCAAAGCATGGTCTACTCGCACTCGCCGCAGGATCACCGCACTAGCAAAATAGTTGGAATAGGCAAGTTGAGATTACAATTTTTTTATCTAGAAACCAACATCGCTAGAACCACAGAATTTGAGCTTTTTTGCCGCTTCATTTGCGGCTGATTCGGCCCGTGAACAAGCTACGAGCGCTTTCTAAAATGTACAGCAGTAAAGATTTTATGTACGGATTGAAAATATATCTGGGAATTTTCATTTTATACCCAATCAATGGGCCTATAATGCTTCCTGTAATCCGATTCGTTCTATTACCACCCGGGGTGATTGTTTAATTTGGGACCGTGCTGCATCCCACAACTTTTTGTACTGTAATTGGAGCAGTTTTTTTCTCGTTTTATAAAGCTTGTATCCTATAGAACCAGAACATGTTGTTGTCCATTGGCTCGCTAGTATCTTGGTGGAGTCTGCAGAATAAGGGTGTACGTAGTTAGTACAACGTAAGTATCTACTAACAGATACTTACGTTGTACTAACTACGTACATTCAATGACACACGTGACTGAATCTCTCATATCTATTTCTAATATCTTTCGTTACGTATAAAGAGGTGTATTCCCAGCTAAGTCGAAGACGATCTAGTTGAGAGTATATTCCCATTAAATGTAGGCACAGTTGTCATGTAAAAACAATACTATGATCGCGTGTGGTAGCTAGATTAGACATAAACGTTAATAGGCGGTGTCCTAGCGAATGATTTCGAGAAGTTTACTTTTGCCATCCAAAGCGGCAATTTTGGCACACCCTTCACAATTCTGAGTGATCCGTGGCATATCCGGTCCGAGATAGTTGCCTTACCGTAACCCTAAATTTATATCGGAGGTGATCTGCTAATCGGCCCAATATGTTGGACCATCCCTTTGCCAAAATAGACGAAACCACAATACATGTAGCGGAGCGCCACTGCTACATTTGTTGAGGTTGTGGTCCTTGTTATGAAGTCTTGGATCTTCACATATGCGCTCGCTGACATATAAGCCGGTAAGTCTCCCTTTCCGGACACCGTCATCTTCCAATGTGACTTCAACTAGAGCCCGATCTTACGCACTACGTCTAGACTCATAACCTGCTCTGAAGCTCCGATATAACAAATATCTCGCCTGATGACCGTTTACAGCACCGTGCGCCATAACAACACTACCCTTCCTTGGCTCCGAGCCACGATCTTTCTACCATCGGTACCAATCTCCAGGATTCGGCATGAACCGACCCGATTACCTCATGTTCATCTGGATTCAGAAAAAAATCACAAGACAAAGCTGTCGTGCGTTGGATTGCCTTGGGTCTTTTCGCTT